GAGAGAGCATGAGTGGGGGAGGGGCAGAGAGAGAGGGAGACACAGAATCTGAAGCAGGCTCCAGGCTCTGAGCTGTCAGCACAGAGCCCGATGTGGGGCTTGAACTCACCAACCACGAGATCATGACCTGAGCTGAAGTCGGAGGCTTAACCGCCTGAGCCACCCAGGCGTCCCTGCTTTTCATTCTTGAAGAATACTTCCACTGGGTACAGAATCCTGTGTTCACAGATTTTTAAATTCTCATTCAGCTCTTTGAACGTCTTCTGGACTGCAGTCATTTGAGGCCTGATGCCTCTGAATGTGACATGTTTTTATTGTAGCTGCTTACAAAATTTTATCATTATTTTGGCTCTCAGTAGTTTAAGAGTCAGGTGTAGCTTTCTTCGTATTCATCCTCTTTGGAGTTAACTGAGCTTCCGAAATGTGTCATGATGTCTTTCCCTTGGGGTTTTTTTCAGTCATTGTTCCTTAAAGTCTTTCTCCTACTCCGTTATCTCTCTCTCCTCTCCTTCGGGAACTCCAATTACACGTGCATTAGACATTGACATTGACCTGCAGATCCCGGAAGATCTGTCCTTTTTTTTTTTTTTTAAATTTATTCTCTTTACTTTGAGTAATTCATATTGAGGTATCTAAGTGTACTAAGTCTGTAATCTCGAATTTTCTGTTAACAATTCGGTGGTCTTCTGTTTCAGATACTGTATTTTTTTAGTTATAGGATGTCCATTTGGTTATTTTTAAAATAGTTTCAGGGCGCCTGGGTGGCTCAGTTGGTATAGTGTCCAGCTTCAGCTTGGGTCACGATCTCACAGTTTGTGAGTTCGAGGCCCACCTTGGGCTCTTTGCTGTCAGCGCAGAGCCAGCTTCAGATCCTCTGTTACCCACCCCCGTCCCTCCCTGCCTCAAAAACAAACATTAAAAGAAATTTTTTTAATAGCACCTTCAACAAGATAAAATAAAATAGTTTCTCTTTGTTGAAATGTCTTTTCTTTTCCATCAGTGGGAGCAAATTTTCCTTGACATCCCTGAGCATCGTGATAAGACCTACCTTAAATTTCTTCATTTGCTAATTCCAACATCGGGACATTTCATGGCCAGTTTCCATGAATCATCTTAAGTATGGGTGATGGGTTCCTATTTCTTTACATGTCTTCATATAATTTTGGATTCTATCCTGGGTGTTGTGAATGATAACATTATAGAGTTTCGAGATGTTTTTAATGTCCCTCCAAAGAGCATTGTTTTGCCTTACATTTTGTTTGTGAGAGGTTAACCTGGTTGAACTCAAGTGCAAACTCCATCTCCAGGGTGATGGGGAAAAGCACAGCCCAGTTCACTTCTTTTCGCCAAAGCTGGGTTGCTTCAAGTCTGTCATATGCATGTGTGTTTTGCAGCCAAAGATTTGGGCAGAGTTTATATGCTGCATTTGGGGACCTCCCCTGTCACCCCCCTTTCCAAAATATACTCCCTCACTTTCCAGCTACTAGGATTCCCCCAGCCTCTGCCTCCTGGTTTATTGAGCCTTAAGTGTAGGACTCTGTCTGAGTTTTAGCAGCTACGTAGTACAGACTGGGGCCTGTCCTCAGACTAAAAGCCATGCAAATGGGACACTCATGCAGTGAGTTTCTTTTTTTTTTCTTTCATAGTTTATTGTCAAGTTGGTTTCCATATAACATCCAGTGCTCATCCCCGCAAGTGCCCTCCTCCATGCCCATCACCGCCCTTCCCCTCCCCCACACCCCCATCAGCCCTCAGTTTATTCTCACTCAGTGAGTTTCACTTGCTAATTTTCCTTTAGGTTCTGCCTGCATTTGGTCCCCTCCAATGCCTCAGGTAGTTGTGTTTTGTTGTTTTGGCTGTTGAGGTTGTATAGTTGCTATTGGTGAGAGAGTTGATCCAATAGGAGCCACCAGCTATTTCCAGAAGCAAAAACTTCTATGGAGAGATTTGGAACAGTGTCTGGAAAACAAACACGTTAGGAATGTGAATTCATGTTATCGACCACACTGCTGGGTTCCCTTCTCTGGTCCAGGTGAGAGGCAACCTGAACAGAGACACCCCCATGTAGGAAGGGGTCCGTATTCAATGAGGGACCCCAGTGAGCACGCGACTGTAGGAGAGGCCACTGAACTGGGGGGCAGGGGTGCTCTCCAGGAGGGCTCCCTGGAGGAGGTGCTGTTGGGACTAGATATGCGTCAAACATTCCAAGATGAGAGAATACACTTTCTGATTTCAAGGTTTTATGGGTAAGAATTTCTAACTCTCAGAGGGAAAGGTAACCCTTTCCTACACCGACCCCTCGAAGATACTCCCTGTAGTGATAAAAGGATGTGAAACCTCCACCAGCGCAAAGGCCTGAGGGGGCAGTGCCATGGCGTGCTTGCTCCAGAAGTGTTTCTACCATGAGACTAGTGGGGCTGGAGGTCGGGGCCCCCAAATCCGCACAGGGGGGTTGAGCCTCCATTCATCCCGCGCACTTCCGAGCTGGCTACTGCGAAGTCTGTGGAGGCCAGAAGCAAGGCAGAGAGGGAACTTTAATTTTTCTGTGCAATAAATTTTGGTAACTCATCGCTCCTCAGAGTCGCGATCCTTCCCCCTGGACCCTCACACCCCGTACTCCCACTGCCAATCCCGGGCAGACACTGTTATAGCCATGCTACAAAACTGAGGCTCAGAGAGGGGGTGTGACCAACCCAAGGCCACACAGCCAAAGCACTGGAGCCCAGACTCCAACCCAGGACTTCCGACCGGTCCCGGAGCAGCTCTGGAGGTTGTCCCCGTGAAGGGGCCTCCGTCTCTCCAGCTGCCATTGGACATAATCGTTGTGTCCCCCCTCAGGGGCTGGCGTGAGTCAGTGGATGTGAAACTGACACATAAATTGTAAATTGCCTGCAGATGTTGGTGTCTGTTACTGTGGTAACCGCCCGGCATCTATGGACGGCGTTCGCTCTGCGTACCGGTGGTCGCACTGGCATTTTAACTTAATAGCATTGCTATTCTCCCGCCATAAAAATAATATAAATTATGCATACGTCCAAACTCATCACATTGTATATATTAAATACGTGCATTGGTGTGTATCACTTATACCTCGGTAAGACTATTAAAAAATACATTCATTACAGAAAATTGAGAAAATGTAGAAAAGTGGGCAGAGAAGCGAAAATATTTTATTTCAGCCACCCCAGAGCAGCCTCTGCTAACATGCTGGGGAATCGTTTTTCGGCTTTTCTTCCCTCTGCCCGGTGTGTTCTGCGTTTGGCCTGGATGTGATCATCGGTCTATATAATTAAAAACATTTTCTATCCTGCTCGTTGCCCCTTAGGGGGTGCTGATAGGAAGCAGCGGAAGCCCGGCTCTGTGGGCTCTGGCTCGGCTGCCCCACGAGCGCCGGCCCTTTCCCCAGCCCCGGGCTCCACGTGTTTCCATTCAGCTGCTCTCGTGGTCTTGTCCTGTCTTTCTAAGTTCAGTGAAATGTGCTTTCATCTTGATCAATGAAAATGTCCAGCCCATCATCCTGCTTCTAAACCACCTTCTCTTTCCTCTTTTGCTGTCAAAGCTGGTATTTACCTATGGCTCAGGCGGCCAGTGCCGCCAGGAGCTGCCTCTAAAAGGCTCTGATTGGAAAAGCAAAGGGCGTTTACCGAACAGGAATGCAAAAGTCCGTCGAGGTCTCGAATAAGAGGTGGCCGGTGCTTCTGAGAAGCAGCAAAGAGTCCCGTGTGAGTGGAAGCGGGAGGGGGGCAGGAGGGGAGAGGAGGCTGGGGGAGAGCGGTGGCACCTTTTCCCGAGTGAAAAACAAGACTTCACAACAAACGTTTTGTTTTTTTCCTGGCGATCTGCAGATACTGCCAAACTAGGTGGGCTTGGGGCTGGGGGAGTGGGTCGGCGGGGGCCCTCTCGGGGCTGGCGTGGCTGGGTGATTGTGCTGCGCTCCCCGCCCCCTCCTGGGACATGGGCTAGCCTGGGCAGATCCTTCCGGAAGCCGGAGGGGTTCTGGATGGGGTCTCTGAGGGGCCTGGCTGGGGATTGCTCAGCCCTCAGTTGGAGGCAATGCCAAGTTCGGTGCAGGTGCAGGAGGAGGGGAGGGAGCGTTTGGGCTCGCCGCGGTCTGTCTCTGGGGACCACAGACCACTCAGGCTTTAGACCGAGACCTTCTTTGCTTTGCGCTGAGGTCAGCTGGGGGGTTGATCTAGAAGGTTTGGGGTGGCCTCCCTCTTGCTGTGCTGGGGCTGGCTATGCAGGGGCAGGGAAGAGTCCTGGGGAGATGGGGTGGAGTCTGGATGCACTGCAAGGGCCGGGCTGGGAGAACTGGACATGACATGCAAGACGGACAGAGGGAAAGGGGTCACGAGGCTCCAAGGGGCTGGGGGGTGGGGTGGGGGAGCTGTTACCACCCGAGAGGGAGGCTGCGGAGGAGGGCTTTGGGACGGAGCAGCATCCGGTTCTGGGGGCCCGCGGGGGGTTGGGCATCGCTCTGGCAGCTGTAGGAGACTGGGGTGGGGCTGAGATCTGGGCTGCGGTTTGTCGGAAAGTAGGTCCTCTGTGCTAAGGCCGGATCAGGCATTCTGGTGCCTACAGAGTCCGGGCCAGGAATGTGAAGCTTATGGGGGCCCCACTGATGGGGGGCTCACGGGGTGGGGGGGCAGGGATCACCACAGTTGGTCCCCACGGGCCTCCAGAGTAAGGCTAGTGTCCGCTCTGTGGCCCCGTCACCCGGGCAGCACGTGAAACCCCCACACTGCTTCTGGAAGCAAGAGGGGAGAGGAAGGCAGGGAGCAGGAAGCAGACAGAGCGAAGCAAGCCCACGACTTGTCGTGCAGCCGGTGGGGCGGGGACACGGGGACCACCGGCCCCTCGTCAGTGCCCCGACCCCTCGGGCTCCTGCCTGCAGACGGTGGCCTGACCCAGGGGTGCATTCTGTGGGAGTGGGTGCTCGTTCCGTCGACCGCGGCTCTGGGGTCCTAATGAGCCACACCTTCCTGTCTCTCCCCCCACAGCCGATATCATTTCCACCGTTGAGTTCAACCACACCGGAGAGCTGCTGGCCACAGGCGACAAGGGTGGCCGGGTCGTCATCTTCCAGCGGGAACCAGAGGTGCGGCCGGACCTGGTAGTGGCGGGCGGGGGGCTACACCCAGCACGGGCCCTTGCTCACCCCGCCCTGGGTCCCAGAGAGGCACTCTGGGCGGGCGGGGTGGCTGCTGCCCTGGCTTAAGCCTGTACTCCTGCCCTGTGGCTGGGTGAGCCGGCGCCGTCCCGGCCCTAGCTGGGGGGACAGGGGGACTGGGTTTTCTGCTGGTGCGGGGCTGCCCACAGGCCGGGGTACGCTCCGCCCAGGCCTCGCCCTGGTGGGATTCGTCGTCCAGCAGAATTCTGGGTAAGCAAGGAGTGGCCTGGATCACTCCACACCGGGGCAGTGCTGCTGAGCCACTAAAAGAAAGCTCGTGATAAAAAGACCCCCATTTGTTGAGTACCTACTATGTGCAGTCCCCTTGCTATGCTCCTCAAGGACGTTTCTCATTTACTCTCCACTACCCACCCCGGAGCGTGGGGACCGACACCCATTTTACAGATGAGGACACATGGAGAAGTCACCCAGCCAGTGATCAGAGACCAGGGACTGACACCAAGACGCCAGCCTGCCTCTGAAGGGGGTGCCCCCCACACCGCACAGGTGCAGGGATTAGCTGCTGAGGACAGGATGGTGGAAACCAAGGAGGTCGACAGGGAAGAGGGAGGAGGGGGGGAGGGGCCATGGAGAAGGAGGGAGAGGAGGAGGGAGATGTTGCCGACACATCCCTGCTCCAGTCAGTTCCGGAGCTGATGGAGGTCTGCCTCGGGTGCTCACCCCTCCCCCTCCCCACGGCGGCCTCAGTGGTACCGTCAGGTGCCATTAGTATTTGCATTTCACAGAGTGGGAGGCTGGGGCTCAGAGGTGTGGAATCGCTTAGCAAGGACACGTGGCCACAAAGCAGACAGCTGAACATCAGTCACCCTGGCCGGAGCGCGCGGATTGTACGAGAAGGACTGGGGTCACCGGCCGGGCTTTACAAAGCCAAGCCTCCTTTTTCCAAAAAGAAATGAAATCGCTAGATGCCGGTTTCTCGACTTTGAATTTTTCTCCTGTTAGTCGTTTTCCCTGTTCTGGTCCCGCCGGCCTTGGTTGCAGGCACTGCTCACGGGAGATGAAGGGATTCAGCCGGACACCCAGGGGGAACTTTCTGGAAGCAGGGCAGGTGTAGAAACACAGCATTTGGAAAAAATGAGCGGGAAAGTTGAAATTGTGCATGGGGGAATGTCTCCGCTTTGCTCCCAGCAGGTGATTCTTCTGGTTGAAGCGTCATGTGGTCACACACACTGAAATTGTCTCCCAGGCCAGCTGTCCCCGTGCCCGCAATGGTCTCCTCACCGCACCACGTTGAGGAATCTACCACGGGGGTCCCTGTTGGGAGTTCGCTGCCTACACTGGGGTGGGGCCTCCCAGGAGAGCCAGGGGACGGTATTCTCTCCCCGGTCTGACATCGCAGGATGCTCTGCCACAGTGTGAAATCTGCTCCCAAGGCGTTCATTCCTCAAGTCAGGCCTGAGATGGACACTCGGACTGGGGGAGCAGCCCAGAGCATTGACCTTGGCGTCAGACAGACCTCAGAGGCGCGGATGACAGTGCTTAGTGGACACGTGGCCTTGTGGGGGGTGATCAGTTCACCTCCAAGCCTCCACTTTCCCATCTGTAAAATGGGGACATCCACGGTGTCCACTGCAGCGGGGCCGTGAGGCTAGAACAAGATGAGGAGTGAGAAGTGCTTCACTCCGTACCTAGCACATAGTAGGTATTCATCAAATGTGACCAGGTAGCCTGGTTGCTGGTGGTTTTACTCGTTGGACAGAGGAGGAGACAGGGCTTGGTTGCCTTTGACCTGGGATCGGATCCACCAGCGTTGCTGGATGCGGGCCGCCCGGCTGTCGGGCTCTCTGAGGGTTGGGTCAGTGTGCCCCTCGCCCCTGCCCTGGGGGCCGCTCCTGCCCCACCCCTGCCCTCCTGGGGCTCAGGCCCCCTTGTCTGGGTTTTCTTGCAGAGTAAAAATGCACCTCACAGCCAGGGCGAGTATGATGTCTACAGCACCTTCCAGAGCCACGAGCCGGAGTTTGACTATCTCAAGAGCCTGGAGATAGAGGAGAAGATCAACAAGATCAAGTGGCTTCCTCAGCAGAATGCCGCCCACTCCCTGCTGTCCACCAATGGTGAGTGCGGCCGTCAGGCACCCTTTCCCGCCACGTGGGGGCGGCGGGCATTCTTCTAGCCCCTGAGGACCCCAAAACCGTGTTTTGAGCAGCCTGTGACTCTGCTATATCTTAGCCTTTCCCCACGGTTGGACGTGAGGCTCATTCCCACTGTTCCAAAGAGCTGTCCCAGGGATGGTGTGGGGGGAGCTTGGTAACCCCGATGACGGGGGCAAGCTTTGCTCTTCCAGAAGAGTGGGATCACCGCCTGGCAGTGTGGGCCGGGCCACAGGAGGGGCGCGGGTCTAGGAGCCTGCCTGGCCTCCTGACCGTCCTGCCCCAGGGAGAACACGGGCGCCCCCCGGGGCCCCCAGCCTCCTGGCCAGACTCCTGCTTCACCCCCTCGGGGCAAGGCTCCTGGGGCCAGAGGTTCAGCTCCCCACCCCACCCCCCGCCCCCGCGCGCTCTGCTCTGCCTCCTGCACCTCCCACCCCCCATCGTCATCGTCGCTGGTGCCTGGACTCTGTCCCAGCCCTGTGACCCTGAGGCAGTGGCCTTGCTTCTCTGAGCCTCGGTTTCCCCACCTGGGCAGCGGGGTGGATGCAGCTCCTCTGGCACCCCGAGACCAGCCAGCGCCGCTGCAGCGTGTGTGAGCCTCACAAGAGCCCAGGCTCGGTGCAGCCGCTCAGGCGTCCTCAACTCCACCAACCCAGCCTTGTGCCCAAAGGCTGCCCCCCGCCCCTCACCTGGCCAGCCCATCGTCCTCAATTGTAGGACCTCCACTGGGGGCCACCTTCCACTGAGCCTTCACTGATGCCCCTCCTGCAGCCGGTCCTGGCCCCTCCCGGCCCCAGGCCTGCCCTCCCCCGCTGTGCCACGTGCGGGATCTGAGACCCCTACGGGCGCCCGGCACGGGGTCGTGCTCCGTCAGCGCCAGAGCAGACGCAGTGCGGGGCTCCCCAAGATGGGACCTGGCCCTGCGCCTTTCCCATCTGACTCATGATGGGTGCGCCTGCCTCATGGAGGTGCTGGGAGGACGGAATGGCGCGAGGCCACGGCGGGGCTGGAGCGGGGCCGGAGCTCCCGAGCCGCACACGTGGTTTTCCTTTCGCCGTGGGAACAGGATGCATCAGTCTCTTCCTGGCCTTTTGGAGGGAAGGCAGCTTCAGGAGCTGCCTGCAGCCCCACCCTCAGAGCTTCTCGCCCCCGGGTTCAAATCCCAGCTGCTCCCTTTCCGAATGCGTGTCGTTGGGTACCTCCCACGAGTGTATTGCTCTTAGTTGTCTCCCTCTTCCTTCTGAGCATGACGGCGTGTGTTTTGCCGCTCGCGTCTGAAGGCCATCTGGTGGCAGAATTCCCTCTTCCTCGGGCTGGGGAGGGGGGCGGAGGGGAGAGGGTCAGTCTTTTGTCCTTTAAGGCCCTCACCTGATTAGACGAGGCCCACCCACACAATGGCAGGCAGTCTGCCTCACCATATGGATTTAAATGTTAATTCCATCCAAAAACAATACCTTCACAGCAACACATGCCCAACTTTGGCCAAATGCCAGGGTAGCCTGGCTTTGCCATGTTGACACATAAAATGAAGAATCACAGCTGGTAGATGACTCTTCTGATATCCGTGGCAGGGTTTCGGAGAAATGGGTCACCCTCTTCTGTCTGCCACGGCAGAGCTTAAAAAGTAAGAAGCTACGTCCATACACTGTCTGGACATGACTTTAGAGTTGGCCGGCTGCCCTCACAGGTGCTCAGGAGTCCCCCCTTGGGATCAATTGTGAGGAACCAGAGAATGAGGACAGGGACGTCGTGTTCGGCCGCGTTCAGCGCATGGGGTGCACAGAAGGAGAAGGAACCTTCCCTGTCCAAGAGCAGGACCCCAGTCAAGTCATTCCCGGATCAGTGCACCCCTGTCCCCTGGACCGTTCTCTGTGCTGGCGTTCATCACATGTCTCATTTCATTTGCTCTGCTTTTAAAGATAAAACTATCAAACTATGGAAGATTACAGAGAGAGATAAGAGGCCCGAGGGATATAACCTGAAAGATGAAGAAGGGAAGCTTAAAGACCTGTCCACGGTGACATCGCTCCAGGTAAGATGGGGACCACAGCAGATTCCGGCAAGCGGGAAGGGCACGTGCTTCTTTTTTTTTTTTTTAAATATTTTATTTATTATTGAGAGAGAGAGAGACAGCATGAGCAGGGGAGGGTCAGAGAGAGAGGGAGACACAGAATCCAAAGCAGCTGCAGGCTCCGAGCTGTCAGCACAGAGCCCGACACGGGGCTCGAACCCACAAACCATGAGATCATGACCTGAGCTGGTTGGACGCTTAACCGACTGAGCCACCCAGGCGCCCCGCGGCGCGTGCTTCTTAAACGGTGAGGATATTAGGACTTGAAGGGCCTTTGAGATTCGAGTCAGAGCTGGACTCAGGTCCTGGCTGGGCTGCTGACTTGTGGGGTGGCTGCGGGCTTTTTCCCCTCTCCTTCAAGCCTCAGTTTCCTCACCAGCAAAGCTGAGATGAGCATGTTTCTCTCGGAAGTGCCGGGCGGATGAGGCAGGGGCGATGCACGTCCGGAAAGCTCTGTGAGCCGCACCTGCGGGTGCAGTGCAAGTCCTAGAAGCCCTTGCTATGCTCAGGGGGAAACTGAGGCCCAGAGAGAGGCAGCCGCTCCCCTAAAGCCGTTCCACTGAATGAGTGAAGTGCCAGAAAGGAGAACCTGGGAGGCGAGCTTTGTGTGGATCCTGAGCCCTTTGTCGAGAGGCCGAGGGATTCCCCGCAGCTTGTAGAGGCTCGACCCATGCAGTTGTCTTAAAAGAGGCCATGCTGAGGCCAGCTCTCGTCCCCACGTCCTTAAAAGTCAAGAGAACTCCTCTTTCTTCCAAGGGAGGGGGCGTGAGACATGGCAGAGAGTACTGGAGTCCCGGGATGTGGGTTCCGATCCTGCCTCGGCCACCTCCTGGCGGCGTGCCCCTGGGCGCGGTCTCCGGCTCCGCGAGCCTCCGACCGCTCATCTGGAGTGAGAATGAGCACTTCTGTGGCGAAGGCTGTGTCTTCCAAGCACTCTGCCCATAATTACTCAGTCCTGTAAAATGGGCACACGATTATCAGCCTCATTTTACAGATGAGATGAGCGCTGGATCCAAACCCAGGGAAGTCGGGCTCCAGGGTTGGCATCCCGGTCTCCTCCGTGAAGTGGGAATGAGGTCCCCGCCTCCTGGGAGAGCCACGGGGCTGGCTAATGGAGTCGTGCTGGCAGACTCCGTACAAGTCTGCGCCTTTGCTTCTCTGGCGGGGCAGGAAGCATGCTGAGGCCACCCCGTGTGTCCCTGGCTTCCAGAACCGAGCCTGGACCATAGTGGGTGCTTTGTTCACATTTGCTACTGGTGCATAGCTAATTCGGATTTATTCATTCATCACGCGGTGAAGTACCTACTATGTGCCCGGCCCTGCTCGAGGCACTGGGAGGCCTCAGTGAAACTAAGAGCCTGAGGGAGGGATTAGATCTGAGTCTTAGTGTCCCCTGCTCCTGACATGCCTGTCAGGCGGTTGTAGGCAGGGTCCTGCCGTGTGCCTCAGTTTCCCAGTTAGCAAAATGGGGGTGCTGACTCACCCTCTCTGAAATAGCTTAGCATACACACTCGCTAGGTGTCCAGCAAATTGTCATTAACTACAAAACGGTAATCTGTGCTGTTCCTGAGATGAGAAATAAATATTTAAACATATTGGCTTCTGAATGATTTGCAAATTGTACAAATGAATTCTGAGGAAGTCAGGAGGCCAATTAGCTTCAACGTTGAGTAATGGGAGTGTCCCCCCTCCCCCAGCTCCAAGAAAGTTTATGAGGGTTTCATCTGGTGGGAAGGATACAATTATCACCTCCTGATGGACCTGGCATTTGCGGCAGAGCGGGGGGCCCACGGGAATCGGTTTATTTGCCTCTCAGCGTCTGAGACTTGGCTCTGTATTTCGCTCACGTCCCAAGATGGCTCTTAGCTGTCCGCTGAGGCTGGAAGAGAAAGGAGGAAGAACGAGGGCATTTGGGTCTTTCCTCAGCTCACCTCTTTCTTGTCTCCTCCCGTGTCACCCAAGCCACCCAGCCCTGAGCAGCTCTTCACGCCATCCCTCCCGTTCATGCTGGAGGCTGGCGCTGTGACTTACTGAAAACCTACTCTGCACTTGGCCCTGTGCTAAGTCCCTGGGTTTCAGAGGTGTGAAGTCACCCCATGCTGGTGGTCAGTGCTGTGATAGTCACACAGGGAGGCCTTTCTCGACCTTGTTGATTTGGTGAACTCCTATTCATCCTCTAAAACCCTGTCTGCCATCTCCTTTGTAAAGCTTTTTCTACACGAGCAGATAAGACCCCTCACCCTTCAGTGCTCTCTAGCTTTCTGTGGCCACAGTGTTCCGCCCTTCGTGTTATATGATTGACCCCCTGCCTCTCACCTTGACCGTGGCTTCTGGGAGTGTTGGAAGAGGGGGGAATGTTTCATTCATGAGACACCCAAAACTTCAGGGCATATTTATTTTCACTCTTCTTCTCCTTTGTTCTTTTAATGGCTTTGAAGTACATTTGAGGACGGCAGTGAATGGCTGGAGCCCTGGGTATAGCCCAAGTCCAGCTGGGAGGAAACTGTGGCCAGCGGGGCGGGAAGTGGACTGACATCCAGGACTTTGCTAGGCCAGTGATGCTCTGACCTTCTCCAGCACAGGTGTGAGGGGACAGAGTCCGGGGGTGTCCGGGGCAGACATCAGCTGTGCCTGGGGGAAGGGAAGATTAGGAGCTGACCTAGAATATCTAACACGTGTGGAAAAGTGCAGGGCGGAGGGCACGCTGACAGCACCTCCCACTTCACCTCCTAGGCGGAGAGCCTAGAAGCTCAGGCACAGAGCCAGCAGCACAAGAATGGCCCAGAGCCAGGCAGGCACGCGCGCCCATGTCACACACACCCACACTCACACACACACATGCACACTCACAGGCCCCTACTCGCACGAACACTCACACACCCATATTCGTGCATGCAAACTCGTGCATGCACACACATATACGTGTACACACCCACATTAGTATACGCACAATATGCATATATGTACACCATCTCTTGCACACGCATGTGCATGCACGCACACGCATATACTTGTACACACCCACATTCATATATGCACACATATGCATATATGCACACCATCTCTTGCACATGCACATGTGTGCACACACGCATATACTTGTACACACCCACATTCATATACACACATATGCATGTGTGCAACCATCTCTTGCACACACATATACTTGTACACGCCCACGTTCGTGCACGCGCACACTCATACACCAGCACATGTGGGTACTTGCACGCACCCTCACTCATATACACATGTACACACGGGCACACGTGGGCATGTGCTCAGACTGCATCCGAATCAGAAGGAACACTTCGTGCTGACCCACCCTGACCTTGGCCCCGAAGCGGTCACCTCCCATCTCAGCTGTCCCCAGGGAGCTCGAGGGACACAGCCCACTCATTCACTCACCCGTTCACTTGTTCACCTGAGGACCTTCCTGTGCTGGGCCCTGGGCTGGGGACCAGAGACCCAGAGATGAACCAGGGAAGACGCAGCTCTTAGGGGAGGAGTCGGTGTCACCACATGTTTGCAGGGGTGAGTGTTTCAGGCAGAGGGCACGCAGGGAAGGAGGGCACAATACCCAGTACCGTCTCAGGGACCCTCACACCAGCTCTCCGAGGTGGGGTGTGTCGGAGTCAGGCTGCCACCAGCAGCTGTAACAAGGAACCCTGCATCGCAGGGTGCGAGACGCAGAGGTGCACTTCTCACTCACGGAAAGGCCCTGGTTGACACGTGAGTCTCCCACAGGGACGCAGGCCCCTTCCATCCCACGGGCCTTCATTCCTAAAGCTTGGGTCCTCACTGTCCAGCAGTGGAAGGGGAAAAGAGGTAGAGAAGGCTCACCTGCCTCCTAACAGCCAGGCTTCCCTGTGCTCCCGTTACTATTGGTGAGAACCAGTCACATGGCCACACCCAAACTGCAAGGGCCACTGGGAAATGTAGTTCTTGTCCCGGCAACCACTTGTGCTGAGGGAACAAAAATGGTGGATAATTGGCTGGTGTTGCCATGGTGTCTTCTCATTCCATTTTAGAGGTGAGAAAGCCGGGGTGTAGAGGGGTTCAGCCACGTATTGAGAGCCACACAGCAGGCTCAGAACCAATCCCAGGAGGCAAAGCTTTCCTGGGGCACTGCTCATTTGCAGCGTGTGCATGGTGCCTGTGGCACATTGCCAGCCTCCAGCTCTGATCATACAGCCCCGGCATGCCGTTTCCTGCCTTGGCTGCCAGCCCCCCGCCCTTCACCCCATCACCATATCACCCTGGGGGCCACCCCCTCCTCTGCAGGTGCCTGTGCTGAAGCCCATGGATCTGATGGTGGAGGTGAGCCCACGGAGGGTCTTCGCCAATGGCCACACCTACCACATCAACTCCATCTCCGTCAACAGCGACTGCGAGACATACATGTCGGCGGACGACCTGCGCATAAACCTCTGGCACTTGGCCATCACCGACAGGAGCTTCAGTATCCTTTCCCGCTGTGGGCTGGGGGCTTCTGGGTGGGGCTAGTGGGCTCAGTTGCAAGCGAGCCAACCTAGGGGCTTCTGGTTTTGTTCGGCTTCTTCGGTGAGGGAGACCCATATTTGGAACCGTGATGAGTTGCTTTATGAAGACTCTAACGCCACAGCTGTGGAGGGTCCTGTTTGTCCCCTTGCCTTCTCCAGGGGATAGAGTTCCCTGTCATTCTGGGACCTCATCAGGGACCATGGAGGAGACAGAGTCCTGGGGTCAGCCCTCCTGGATTGTGGCCCAAGGCAGGGGCTTCAGTGCTTGATGAACAGCCCTGGGGTCCCACCCGGGGCTTAGAGTGACAATCGATGTGTCACATGCCTGGTTGGATGGGGATAATGGGAGCCCCGCCTGGTGACCCCCTGTGTCTAGACAAAGTAGGGGCAATAGTATGGACTCCAGGCCCACTTTCTCCCCAGTGGGAAAAGAACTCGGTTCACAAGCCAGGCCTGGGAAGGGCTGCAGGGGACAGAGCAGCCAGGTGGCTAAGGTGTCACTGCTCACAGACCAATAATAATGATCGTCATACACAGTGAGGCTCTATGCCTGCCCTCAACACGTCTTCATGTTCACTCACATCATCATGACAACGGCCCAGGATGTGGGTGCTGTCATGGCCTTCTTTACAGATGAGGAAACTGAACCACGGGGAGCCCAAGTTAACCTGCTCAAAGCTCACACCTAGCAAATGTCCAACCCAAGCCACCCCCAGCCCCAGAGCCCCACTTCCAACCTTTATGTCCGGCTGCCCTTTATAAAGGATGCCTCCCAGATGGGCAGTGGAAGCGGGTGGGAGGCCCCCTGCCCTAAGAGCTCTCATGCAAGCTGACAGTCTCCAAGTGTCCCCTCTGTTCTGGGTGCCGGGCAGTTCCTGCCATGAGAAGCTGCCAACACGGGCTGTCATACCCACTATTACTGCTGCCTTGCCAGTCAGGAGCGGGTCGTATCCTTCGGAACAGAAGCCAGGACCAGCTGGGAGGGGGGTGGGGAGCCGGAAGGAGCAGTCTGGAGAAACAGAGGGTAGCAAATGGCTTCTGAGGGCCGAAAGCCAGACACTTGCCGGAGGCCGCTGGGCAGGGAGACCTTGGGAACGGGGAGAAGGGGGCTTGGGGGGGGCAGAGAGGAGCACCCGCTGTTCCCCGAGCCCAGCAAGAGGCTGCAGGGCAGACGCGGGGCTTCGTGGTCCATGTGAGCCTCTCTCTGTGGGAGCCTCGCTCTGCACATTCAAGCCCACTGACCTTGGTGAGTAACCACATCTCTGGGAGCTCAGACTCCTCGTTGCCCCCTCCCCTCTGGGACCACAGCGTGCACATTCCACGGGCCCCTCCGAGATGCACCCAGCACAGAGCTGGTGCTCTGCGTGTTGGGAAACGTAAGCATCTGTTTCCTTCCTGCCCTGAGGGAGTGAGTACTCTGAGCTGGGACCGTGGACGTGGACTGGGGTGGTCACAAAGATTCAAGGAGGAGTTGAGGCTGGAGCTGCTTGGGAGGAATGGAAGCCCAAATTTGGCTTGGTGGAAAGGGCTGGGCGGGGCATCTGTCTGACCCTCCATTTAGGCTGGAAGCCTGCTAGGTGCCACCCCATCCCCAGGGCGCAGAGCTTCAGTTGGTCAGGACTCTTCTGTTGCAAGGGCGAGAACAGTGCATCCCCATTGGCTCAAGCAAAACCTGAGCATTTATGACTTACGGACCAGGAGAAGGCTTCAGGCACAGGTGGATTCAGGGGCTGGCACAATGTCATCAGACAGCTCTCTCGGCTTCTTGACTCTCTGCTCTCTCCTCTGGAGGCTTGTCTCGGGTGCCACATGGTGGCACATTGGGGCCAGCGGCACATGCCCTGCCCTCCCAGAGTAAAGTGCAAGAGAAAAGAGACCAGTTTTCTGTGAACTGTCCCACTATACGCCTCCATGTGGCACCCCGTGGGCTCTGATTAGGTATCAGGGGCATCTCTGAACCCATGACTTGGTGGGGGGGGATGCAGTGATCTCTCTGTTCAGGCCCGAGTCAAGAGTGCTGGAGGGGGTCAGTGTGGGAGACCCCTCAGGAGAAGCAGGCACTTGCCGGAGTCCAGCTCCGGGCGGGTCCAGGGGTCCCTGAAGGATAGACGTGTGGGCGAGGGAGGGAGGGAGAGCCCCGAGATTCTGGTCACCAGGCAGGCGTCTCTGCTCTGTCGGTTTTGGTGTCTTTATTTATAGGTCAAACATTAACATGGTATCAGAAAATGGAATTTTTACAATGGATGGTTCTCTGTGATAAGATGTTTTTGTTTTGTTTTTTGTTTTTTATTTTTTATAGTTTATTTATTTTTGAGACAGAGAGAGACAGAGCATGAGTGGGGGAGGGGCAGAGAGAGAGGGAGACAGAATCCGAAGCAGGCTTCTGGCTCTGAGCTGTCAGCACAGAGCCCTACGTGGGGCTCGAACCCACAAACCTTGAGATCTGACTTGAGCCGAAGTCGGACGCTTAACCAACTGAGCCACCCAGGCACCCCAGATGTTTTGGAAAATGTACAGAAACAGGTTGTACAGAGGTATTCTCGCAGAGCTGCCCCAATTAGAGTGAGCTTGAGTAACTAAGAAAATAACAGGGTGTCTTTAGTGAAAAACAGGGTAACATTCACATTTTAATAATGCTAGGATTAAGTCATAGGTTTGTAGATACCCTTATCCATCCTCATCCCAGCTGCCAGGGTAAGGGAAGGGGTTTGTGCAATGTAGGCCTGAGGGAAGGGGCTGCTATACACCACCAGTTAGCAAAGGGATATGTAGTAACCTTTGTTCTGCCCTTATCTGTTCCTTCTCTCTAAGTTAGGTTCTTTGTCTCTGGGCAAGACTTGATTTTCCAGTTATATTCTTTATGGCACCGGAGAGCCAACCGTACCTTTAAAGAGTTTATCTTATTTCCAATACGTAGAACAGCCCCTTCGAGTGCATTTACCTTTGTGTCTAGTTTTATGGTTTCTTGAATAGCTAGGGCACGAGAGACATCTTCGGTTAGTTTATTTGAGCTGTATGAACCTCTTGGACTAACGCAACAGTAGAAACAGAATTGTACATGTACAGGTCGATCTTTTATGAGGAAGGGTCATTAGCCTGTTCATGGCTCAAGGGAAAGTATAGAGGGAAACAGGACCTGCTGGAGACACGATGTCTGTTCCCATAATCGAAAGATGTTCCCACAATAAGTTCCTTCACAAGGTGCAGTCATCATGCCAGGGCCGGAGTAAGGGGACAAGTCACTCCCGATATTGATCAACAAGGTACCGTAGGGGTCAGTGCTCAAGCAGAAATAATTGATTGGGGGTGGATATTGGTCGTCATCTGATTGGCAAGAGATCGTGCAAACTTGCTTTACCCTCACCAGGAGTTTTCTCGACTAGTGGGCTCAGAATCGCTCCCAACAGGCGCTGCCCCAGCAGTTGGGGGCCCCCATGGCGGGCCGCATACACAGATGTTCGCTGCCAGGGATGAGGTGTTGACCAGCTTCCTAGCAGAATAAAACAAGTCACATGGGAGCCCCAGGGTCTGCAAATGGGGTGGGCGTGGGACCCGCGTGTGCCTGCAGCTGCGGTGCACAGAGCGCTTGGCCGTCGGCCGCTCGCCCGGTGTGCGTGTCGGCATGAATGCTGAGAAGTGGTGGCACGTCACGAGCCCATTTTGCAGATGAGAAAATGGAGGTGCTGGGGGCTGGGGGCTGGGCTGGCAGGGGGCAGAGCTGGGATTCGCGCTCAGGCCTCCACAGCCTGGCCCCAGGAGGCTGGCCTTACCCTCAGGCTGCCCGCCCCTGCCGCCCTCGGGTTTCTGCTCCTGGCTGCTGTGAATGCCCGCATCCTTTAAAAATCGTAAAGCCCTGAATCTGTGTAAGGGCCAGTGTGTCTTTCATTCATTCAGCCATTAAGTCCTGGTGGCTCTTCTGACCTGTCCCCCCCCCCGCCCCCGCAAGCCCCCTGGGAGACAGGGGCGATGGAGGAACTCGGCTCTGCCCCCTGCCCCCTTGTGGGAGGGGCCGGACCCCCTAGTGTCAGTCATTCCAGAAACCCCCTCAGGACTGACTCCTTCTGTGTCTGCTCCTGTGTTCTTTCATTTTCCCAATTCTTCTAGTTTCTATTAATTTTCTCAAAAAAATTTTTTTATTTGAGAGAGAGAGTGAGCGGGAGAGGAGTAGAGAGAGAATCTTAAGCCGGCTTCACGCTCAGCACAGAGCCCAGCTCGGGGCTTGATCCCATGACCCCGGGATCATGACCTGAGCCGAAATGAAGAATCAGATGCTCAACCAACCAAGCCACCCAGGGGCCCCTCCCTTAATTTTCTTGAAATCAACTTGCTTTCTTTTTGTCTTTTCGTCTAACTTAATGCATTTTTAATGTTATTTCCGTAAGTGAAAATAAAATCCTCCCTCAGACCCTGGCCAGTACCACTTGCTGTGATAATGCAAATATCCCGTATTGGCTCCATGCAGGATGGTAGCTACTGGCCGTGTGTGCTGCTGGAGTGCCTAAGATGGGGCTAGTTGGACTGGGGAACAGAATTTTTGACTTCGTTTGGTTTTAGTTAATTCAGATTTCAAGTTAAATGGCCGCTCGTGGCTGCCTAGCTGGACAGCGTATACAGCGTCTGTTAGAGACTAGTTCTTACAGTCAGAGACGGAGATGGGTACGTGCTTGAGGAGGCGGAGCATAGCAGCATGGAAGGGAGACTTTCTCCCGTATCCATCACCGGAGCTGGAAAATAATGGAAGACTTTTCCCAGTATGAGTCTGTGCTGGGAAGGCTTCCTGCGCTGTGTGTGTGTGTCGTGGGTGGGCTAGATTCCAGCAGGCAAGCCTGGAGGGAAGGAGCCCAGCGAGGAGATCTAGGCAATGGGCCGGCAGCGTCAGGACCGTGAGCAGCAGTCAGTGGAGTAGTGGGGTAGTAGGCTGTATCTTATCTGTCTTTTGGACCAAGGTGGCCACCGGACA